CATAACTAAGGCAGCAAGCCAGCACAGTTCTCGACCACACAAGGAAATTGTCCCTCTCTTCGAACTGAAAACGGGGATCACTGTCAATTTTATAATGCGTTGTGATTGAAAGTGTCGAAGGTCTTCAACGGCGTCTCGGCTCGAATCTTGGACCTTCAAATACATAGTCGAGCACGCTATCAACTAGGCCATCCTGACACTAAACTTAGTGGTTTCGTGGACTCAGTTATACTTTTTAAGTTATTTTTTTTTAAATAAAATTGTGGACTATGTCCATCGGCATCACATCTCGAGTCCCGAGCCCTTGATTCGTAGACCGACGCGCTAGCCACTAGTCATGGCTAGCCCTTTTCTACCTGAAACAGCGTGTCATTAAATAATATAGGTAGGACAGAGTTAAAGATATTTCAAAATAAGGCTCTTTTCCCAGAAATTTAAAGTTTGATGTAAACCGTGCCTATTCATATATCATATTTTGTATCCCAGGTTTATTTTGCAACAATAAACAAGTTTCAGTCGAGCCGCTAATATCTATACAAAAAGTCCAATGTCTCATCAAGCTGAACATTTTCTTTTGTTATTTATTTTAAAATATTTGGTCAGTAAATATTAACGTAATTAAAGAAGAGAATGAACATGAATGAAAATCTGTATTTACTCACCTGTTTTTACTTTCTTTCAAGTAGCCAGAGTTCTTTCACGCACTTTTGATTTAGATTGGTAGATTCTGAAACGAAAACAAAACAATGACTCTTATCTTATGTCTTCAGGCGTGCGTAGAAAGTGGAATATGACTCAGAACATGTCAGTGTTTTAGATAAAGTACACTTTCAGCTTTTATTTTAACACTGTTCTCAGTTCAGCACGTGCTGTAAGGAAGCATGCTGCAGCAAACACTCATTCTTACACAGATAAGCTCTTGTTCAGCTATATGACAGGTAAAATCCCCAGCGTTGTTAACGCCCTCTACGAAGTAAGTCAGCAACTTGTTTTTGAAGCGCCTCCACCGGTGCGTTGATATAAAACCAGCGTTGCCCAAAAAACACACGAAATCTTTATAATGAACCCAACAGTTTCGTCAATTTTATACATTCTATAGCTTTATGCAATGGAATTGTTGACGAGCAAGTATTGTAGAAATCTGGAATTCTGCCACGCATTAAATCCATGTACTGTAACAAACAAGATACAGAGAACAAGGGGAGTGTTATGATTTAAATATTTTATATAGCGTGAGTGTTAAACTTAGTTATTTTTAGAAGCGATAGTTTACGAAAAATACGTTATGTAGTTCAAATGTTGTGACTTGGTGATTGTTATATTATTGCGTCATGTTACTAGAACCTTCTGAGTGTTTCTCATTATTTGAATGGAACATTCTAGACCTTTGTCGGAGTATAAAGACGCGTCACAAAATTTAGTTCGATAGGTAGATAAATCTAGACTGCGTGATTGTGAGTTTAGGCATAAAGAGCGTATAGTGGCGATTTTAAAGTGAAATTATCACAGGTTGTATTGTATTAACAGAGTGTCTTGTCAATTATGTTCTAAAGTAACAGAACCAACCTGTGTGGACTTATGACGAAAAAAGAGACAATTATTTAAGCTCTGGATACAACTGGGGTAACCAACAGTTATAGTGGTGATTTTAAAGTGAAATTGTTATAGAATGTATTGTAATAACAGAGCAGGAAGTGTAATTCGTCTTATCAAATTGCGTTCTAAAGTAACTGAACCAGCCTGTGTGAACTCTGACGAAAAAAGAGACAATTATCTAAAGTTCTGGATACAAGTGTAACGAGCATTTGTATATGCATTTGGTTTGTTTTAATATATCATTTCAAGTGGACTGTATGCTGTTTGCTTATTTTTGAAATCTATCTCCAACAAGTCACAGACACCTACTCTAAATAATCTGGCCCATACATAAAACCTGACAAAGCATTTCTATTTTAATTTCCTACGATGTAATGCTTTCATTCAAACAGTTCAACGTTTCTGAACCAGATAATTTTATACCATAGCAATAAATGTCAATTTGAATATAAGGAGTGGAATGTGCCACTTGGGTAATAATATATGTGTAAAGACTGTTTTAAATTGGTCTGTGATTTTGAATGATCTTTCTCGCTGAATACTGAATAATGCTCCAAGGGTAGGACTTTCCATCTTTCTCCCTCATCTCTAAGTTGAGTGTTGCCTTTCTTTCATCTCAGTTTTTCATCAAAATAAGAGAATTTTGGTTTTTTTTTAATCAAAGTAACAAACAGGTCATATTCAAATTCATTGGTGCTTGTGGAAATGTTTAATGTTAAAAACTCAGTTTTCATTAAATAACAATTTACTCTACACAGTTCTAAACATTCGCAGTTGTTTCTTACTTACCGGTCTTTTGGTATATCAACAAGCGCAAAGTTAAGTTCCACTCTTGCACGCGATTCACATTCATCAAATTTTGCAAATTGTTAGGAAGAGACAATAACTCAAACGGATACTAAAATTATGACAACTCAAACTTTATTTACACTATATAGAACAATTGAAAACATAAGTATCATAATAAACAAATCACAAGACAAATACAAAACAGTTAAGTATGTACAAAATTACGTCGAACTCAGAAGTTCTAACCGTTAACACAACCACAAAATCACACACAGCTATAGGACTGCCTCTGAAATCCAATAAATAATCTGCCTTCAAATCTCTAACTGACCTGACAGGCATCATTATCTCTGCCAGATGCGCCAGTCAGACGAACCCGAATAGCCACATGGGTCAGGTCAGCAACCTCATAAGGTTAACTGATGGTCATTAAGGTCAAACAAATTAATGAAAAGGTAACAACAGTTTAGAATGGCAACAACAACAAACTTAACGTCAGGTATACGATGGAGAGAGGGATTAGCGGACTTCCGGTATAATTCCAAAACATATTTATATTGGTTCTATATTGTTCCTGTTTTAGGTCTAACTCGCAACTTTTAACATTATGTAAATTGAAATTTTCTGAAATTTTATTTCACTATCATTTTATATCGTATATGTCATAAACGACATCATATAGATATAGCATAGAACAACACGTATTAGGAGTGATTGAACCTGCAAGAGTATGATGACCACTCATAGAGAAGCATTACATGAGTCATCATATTCCATTACTACGGCGATCTTCATAATCTTAAAACAAGAGGGAATCCTCAATAGCCGCGGCACTTGAAATTCTTTTAGGCAGGATTAGAGTAAATTAATCTATGAGACCTTTTTTCCTTCTTTTTGTTCGCTATATTTTTGTGCGGAGTCCAAAACTATAATTATATATCAAACCAGTCAAGAAATGACGAAGTTATGAGCTAAAAGTGTTTATTTGAAAAAACAAACAAAAAACGCAGAGCCGTTGTATGAGCTGCTATGGCGCGGCTAAAATACAAAACAGTAAATTTTTATTAAACAAAACCAAACACACACACACAAGTCTTAGAAAGTAATAGAAAGATGAAACGTGTCTCTTTTTTTAGTCCTAGAATACTGATCAGAGGGAGGACAGCGAGCCAGCACCGGTCAACATTCGGTCTTTGTTCAGCTCTTTGAACCGAATAACAGAATCAACCGTCACTTTTATAACGCGCCCACAGCTGAAAATTCGGAGAGCGTTCAGTTGTATTATCTCTCGATCTTTAGATGCTTCTATCCAGAGCCCAGCATACTAACCACTAAGCCACCCCTTCCCGAAATAACGTCTTTAAGAAAAAACTAAAGAACTAGAAACAACAGAAGTCGGCATCACCTCTTGATCTTTAGACACTTATGTCCAAAGTCCAGTACACTAACCACTAGGCCACGCCTGCCGGAAATAACGTGTTTAAGAAAAAGAAAATAGGTAGGAATAATAGAAGTCGGCATCATCTCTCGATCTTTACACACTTCTGTCCAAAGACCAGCCACTAGGCCACGACTGCCCGAAGTAACGTAAATAAGCAGGTGCAATAGAAGTCGAAGAATTTTCACTGCTCAGACTTTGCAGATATATAATTATAATTTTGAGCTTCACTCAAACTTCTAAACAAGATCGAATCTTTATGGAAGTATGAATAAGTTAAACAAGGTTTGTTCTTATAAATGCTCAAACTTAAAAATCTGGTGAATTAGAAAGTCGGAATAACCTTTTAGTTAAAATAGGCTTGCTCTAATGACATACTTAGCGAAATTAGTAAATCACTACACAGAATCTGTATACTATTTATTATATATATATGTTGGTGTGAACATGCTTTATAGTCACTATAAGAAAAACCTATATACTAGATAGGTGAAGTGAAAAAAAGTGTCATTGGCCACTATTCAGTTCTTCACATTATATAGCAGCCCAGTAGCAGGAATAATAAATAAACTTGGTATTCTAAAAACACACGTTGATTAAAGTGTAGATTGAACTGGACCTCCCTTGAACTTAAGACTTCGAGACTAAATAATTCTCGAAATACTAAGTATATTTATTATAACTGAGTAAACAAATATCAAAATTCTGAATTTTAACAAATATTCTCAAGTTATCATGACAAAATGCAACACGCTAACCATAATTCACATCGCAAGATTTAGCTATACTCGGGCACTTCCAATCTTAAACTACATTTGTGGTTTTAATAAATAATAGACGTCATGTTAGAACCATACTTCTCAAGTTATGGAAAAATATGGATCAAGCATGCGTAATACGCTGGGAGCTACAGGTGTCATGTTAGAACCATACTTCTCAAGTTACAATAGGATAGCTATGTTTGTTCTGAGTTCTCCAACTTATACTATTTAATTCATATTTATTTCATATTATGTGTGCTTACTTGCCTTGATTTCTATTTTGGTTCGTGGAATTTTTAAGTTATTGTAGCTTTGATTTTAAAATTCCTACGTGTTATAATATGGCAAGCAATATATTTACATTAACAAGTGAAAAAAGTACATAGAGATATGCATGATGGAAAAAAAAAAGAAGTCAGAACTAATGTAATACAGAATGTGGTTTTGGTCAATTCGGTTGAAGGGAATTCAAGGTCTGAAACCTTGCGACATTTACAGGAGGAAATGAATGAAGATAACTATTTACAATGTGAACTTACGCAAGTAAATCAGGAAAACGTGGATAATATCAAATAAATGATTCACAAAGTGTAAAAATGTAGGAATGATAGGTCATCTACTGGATTAGTTTAACCAATATATAGAAGATAGATTTGCAGTAAAATCTGAAATATATATACAGTACTTATAGAAGGATAATGTCTATTAGTTTTGGACGCTGCATAGCGGCTCATAAAATGGCTCTAGCTCCGTCATCTATTGACCGATCTGAGATATAATTACAGTAGTGGACTTAGAAGGTCAAATCCTTTCGATTGATCTATTTGACACCACCAGGGTCTCATAGATTAACTTACTCTAATTGTGCTTAAAAGAATTTCAATTTGAAGATAGTTTAGTAGAGATCCTAATGAGTAATAAAATCGAATCGGGTATGCGCGCGCGCCCCACGCTTGGTATTGCTGACGCACAAACATATAACTAATAAAAAGGAAAATAAAGGTCTCGCAGATTAATTTACTCTAATTCTGCCTAAAAGAATTTCAAGTGCCGCGGCTATTGAGGATTCCCTCTTGTTTCTAATATATATCAATGAAACAACAAACATTACATTAAGTTGCACTATTTACACGTATGTAGATA